GTCGTTTTCGCCCCTCCTGAAGCTCGGATTTCGTTTCTCTCGCCAGACCCGTATTTGTCGCATCCCGTTTAATACGACCGGTAGACCAGGCGAAATTTGTGGGTCTAGACGTTGCGATAAACCGTTGTCCCGTCGGTGTACTGCCCTGTCTGCGGCGCAACTCCCCTTGATCGGGGGAACCTGAGCCGCCTGAAGTACAGTGTCGGCTGCTGTTGTTGCTCCGAAAATTTCGGCCGACCTTGTTGTTGTGAAAGAACGAGGGAGGGTTGACTAGAGGAAAGGTTGGGTACAAGTACAAACCCTAGAAATGTGTTGTACCCTATATGTGCTACCCCACTATAGCCTACATAGGCTAAGTCATATAAGTCTGACACACCCCCACAGGCAAAGTGGGGGAGAACAAGAGGTCACAAGACCAGTCAAGCAAAACAAAACAAGCCCACGGTGGATCACAACGTCACCACACATTCCGAGCACAAGTTTAAGGCCACAAGGCCAGTTCGCATGCAAGATCATATATAAAGGTAAGCAAGCAAGTGCATGTATAGAAAGATCACAGTACAAGCAAGGTCAAGAAGTGAGCAAGTGAGGCCAAGTAGGCACAAGACCTAGCATCGTACAGCAGCGCTGATTATCACAAGATGGAAGTGCCTTGGTAAAGATATCAGCAGTGTTGGCCTGAGAGGCCATGTAAGCAAGGCGCAGCTGACCACGCTGCTGCAGCTCACAAGCAAGGAAGTAGCGAAGAGCAATGTGCTTCATTCTGTGCTCCAGTCTGTGCTCCCGACACAAGGCCAGCATGGCCTTGTTGTCTACGTACAGAACTGGAGGAGAACCAGGCGGCTCTCCTAGGTCAGTCAGCAGGTAGGTGAGCCAACGTAGCTCCTGTGCAGCCATCGCCCCTACGTAGATCTCAGCCTCACAGCCGGAGCCGAGAACAGAAGACGAGCGGGTAGACCGCCACAAAACAGAGCCGGAACCAAGGCTGAAGGTCTAACCCTGTGACGACCGCTGCAGAGCCTGGTCGTCAGCCCAAGAAGCGTCAGCATGACCTGTGAGGACCACTGAACACCACCCTCCAAGCACTAGCCCCATGCCCGACGTACTGCACAAGTAGCGCAACACCCTCTTCGCTGCAGCCATGTGCTCTGGTCTGTGTCTCCCAGGAGCAACATAGCGTGCCAAGATGCTAAGAGGGTATGCAAGGTCAGGTCGTGTGCAGGTCATCGGGTACATGAGGCAGCCACCAAGCTCTGGGTATGGGCCACTCGGCTCTACGGACTCATCCGAAGACAGAGCTGAGAGCGTGTGGCGGGTAGACAGAGGACTGGCCTGAGGCGAGGAGTACGTGAAGTCGAAGCGCTGAAGGACCTGCTGCACCATGTGCGACTGAGTCAGGGTAATGGTGCACTGTGCTCTCTCCCGAGTGATCTGCAAGCCAAGGTAGCTGCGCGTTCACCCAGGTCTGTGCACGTGTGTCTCTTCTGCAGCTACGACTTCACGTGGGCGAGTCCAGCAGTATCAGCAGTGGTAAAGACCAAGTCGTCGACATACACGAGGATGTAAAACGGCGGCAAAGAGGTGTCGGTGCGCAGAAACAACGACGGGTCGGCTGTAGAAGGAGCAAAGCCAAGAGCCGCAAGCGTAGTCCTCAGTGTGTCGTGCCACTCACGGGGCGCCTAGCGAAGACCGTAGACTGGTCACCGGAGGCTCCACTGGGTACCAGGAGGAAATGACCCAGTGAAGCCACGAGGGCGGCGCAGCCAGATCTCCTCGTGCAGGCTGCCCTGCAGGAAAGCTGTACCGAAGTCAAGAGAGTGAAGCTCGTAGTCGCGCTGAGCGGCTATGTGCAGCAGCACCCGAAGAGTGGTCATCTTCGGGGTGGGAGAGAAGGTCTGAAAGTAGTCAACTCCCTGCCACTGACTAAAGCCTCGAGGCACGTAACGCGCCTTGAAGACAGGCGGAGAACCCGGTGGCCGCTTCACCCCGAAAATCCACATGCCACTGACGATGTTCACGCAAGGGGGGGGAACCTCGTGGACGTAGGTGCCTCTGGACTTCCAGGAAGCCATCTCTACGTCCATGGCTGACTGCCACTGAGAGGAGTAGGGACCCTCGATCGCCTCAGCGTACGATCGAGGAGTCGGGATGTCTAGTGCATACGGGTCTCCCTCAGGGGCAATCAGCGTGGACACGAGATAAGGCAAAGCAGCAGCAAAACACTAGAACTCCTCCTGCTTTTCCTCAAGCACGTCCGTGCTAAGAGCACACTCACCCCCGACGGATGGAGGATAGACAAACTCAGGCCCAGCAACGAGACTAGCAGCGTAGTCTAGACGACAGCGAGCAGCAAAGTCGACAAGCCCAGCCACCAAGGCAGACGCAGTAGTGGACTCAAAAGAAGGGTCAATGAGAACAGTAGCCAGGAGACGCGTGACGTAGGATTGGCAGCACGAAGAGAGTCAGACTCCGGGTCAGGAAGAACAGGAAGAGAGGACTCTGGAGGAGACGGCAACGGGACACGCAGAGGAGCAGTGGAAGGACGCAGTGCCATCTGGTGTGTGCCTAGGACCGCAGGAGGACGCGGACGCAGAGCACGACTACTAGTGCGAGCACCACGAATAGGCGACGCAGGACGAGACGCAGGCTCACGATGCTCAGCAAGACCTCCTATAGGAGTAGTGTAGGGAGAAGGAGCAGGCAGGGGGGAGACGGGATGTAACTGTGACTGCGACTGGACAGGGTCTGGACACTCTAAAAGAGGAGCAGGACCAGTAGAAGGCGTGAGACCAAGAACCTGCTCAAGGAGCGGAATGAAGTACGGCCGCGGCTGCACAGCGCCTCCAGAAACAGGAGGGACAGCACCAGTACCCCTAGCGGCAGCACCATCGTCAGCAGCACCTCCAACTTCAACAGCGCCAACTCCAGTACCCTCTGAAGCACCAGCACCAGCAGCACCGCCAGCGCCAGCATCACCGCTAGCGCCAACACCCCCAGCAGCTCCAGCTCCAGCAGCACCAACTCCAGCAGGACCGCCAGCTCTAGCATCGCCAGCAGCTCCAGCACCAGGAGCACCTCCAGCAGCACCAGCAGCACCTCCAGCAGGACCAACTCGAGCAGCCCCAGCAGAATCGACAGTCCCAGCAGCTCTAGTACCGCCAGTACGAGCACCTCTAGAACAATTGGCTCCTGTACCTCCAGCGCCGACCCCAAGGTCAATAGCAACAGTAGCACCTCCAGCTCGAGCAGCACGGCTACAGCGCCGGGCAAACCACTCACGCAGCTCCTGTGGAAAGGGTAGTTCCCGCCGAGGAAAGGAAGAGCGGCGGCAGGGGGAGGGGCGCAGTGCGGTAGGGGAAGAGATGGTAGTAAGGAACCGACTCGTCAAAGGTGACGTCTTGGGAGGACAGAACACGGCGCAAGGTTGGGTGGTAAAACTGCCAACCAGGCACGCCAGGGGGGAAGCCAAGGAAGACGCAGGGAACGGCACGAGGGGACAGTTTGTCCGCAGACAAGTCGCGGAGAAACGCCCGAGATCCCCAAACACGAGACGCAGACGCATCGCCAACCTTCCCCGTCCACCGCAAGGTGGGGGAGGTCTCTGGCAAGGAGACTCGGGGCTGAAGGTTGATTTGATGCGCTGCGTACTGAACTGCAAACGGCCACAGAAAATGGGGGGCAGCCACATGGATCATGGACGTAAGAGCGACGTCCATGACCATGCCAATGCGGCGCTCAGCAATCCCATTTTGCTGTGGAGAGGCCGAAAGCGTGAAGGTCTGGCGGATGCTCTGTGCACGACAAAAGGCTTCAAGAAGGGCAGAGGAAAACTCCCCGCCTCTGTCAGAGTGCAGACACAGAACAGGAAAGTCCGAGCCAAAACTCTCTCTGAGCTGGAGACGAGCTGCGCGGATCCAGTCGATCAACAACTCAGTGATGTCACCCTTGCTGCGCAAGGGGAACACCGTGGTGTAACGCGAGTAGTCGTCAACCACCAACAGGAAGTAACGCTCGTGACCCTTGCCACGGACGCGGCGGGGCCCCACACGTCCATGTGAAGAGTCTACAGCGGAGCCTATGTCGGAGGAAACTCGGAGGAGTGTGGGGCGGCGCGCTGCCGCCCCTCGACGCAGGGAACGCAGGTAGGGGCAGGCCCCGGAAGGAGGGGAGGGAGGGACCGGGGGAGACCAAAGACAAGGTAACGGGAGGCCATGCCTTGAAGACGAGGCACGGAGGGGTGACCAAGGCGGTGGTGCTAGAGGAGAGTCCTGTGGGACAGGAGACGACACGAGTAGGGAGCAGACTCAGGACAAGACCTGGACGCTGAAGCAAACACCTGACCCGACGCAGCTACCTGACCAGACTCAGCAACCGGAGGAGACTCAGTAGTCACTGTGTACAGGCTCGATCCCGGCTTACGGGTAAACGTGGCCAAGTGTCGGCCCGTCCGAGCACACGTACAGTGGGTCACCCGCTGACTTGCAGGAGTGAACTGGTCAACCCCCCCATCCTGTAGATCAACACTACTCACCAAGTTCGTAGAGAACGAGGGGAGGTAGAGACCTCACAAGGTGCCAGAGGGGGCCGCCGGACATGGTAAGACAGTTGAGAAGTGGGGAAGGATAGGACCCCCAGAGGGGTCCGCCAGGGAGACCGCAACTGGCCGACTAAGCGGCGTAAGCGTGGTGCGGTCTCGAAAGAAGGAGCGGGAAGCACCCGAGTCAAGGGTGAAGGTGTGTAAGGCCTGAGCCGATGTGGTATCTGAGAGAGCATACGCACCAGTACCTGGGGCAGCAGACGCACTAGCACCTAGAGCAGCAGCCTCACCAGCACCTAGAGCAGCAGCCTTAATGCCCGGGTCAGGTGGAACACATAGGTAACAGTCACCCTCATCACTAGTAGACACAACATACATTGCAGCAAGAATGGCATCATAATCCAGATCAAAGATAGCAACCCCCAACCTAAGCAGCTCGCCCCAGCCGGGGATCTCAGTGGCGTTAGGGAACTGGAGCTCCCACCACCGAAGGCGCTCCGCTGTGCAGAGCCACCCCGACCAGCTCCACCTCCGCCGCCGCCACCTCCGCCACCGCCTCCTCCTCCGCTCCCACCGCCACGGCCGCCGCTGCCTCCGCCTCCACCGCCGCCACCGAAGCCCCCACCCCCGCCAGCACTCCCACCGCCACCCCCACTCCCTCCGCCGCCTCCACCGCCACCTCCACCGCCCCCGCCAGCCCCTCCAGCGCCCTTGCCCCCCTTGCCCTTGCGATGCGACGTCTCCCGCTAGGGGCAGACGCAGCGCCGACCGACTGGGTGCCAACAAAGTCGACAGCATTAGCAGAGACAACAGAGGGCAAAAGAAGGGAGGGGGAGCACCCCTCAAAGAAGGGGGCACGAGGGTCACCACGAGAGGCTCCTACAATGACTATAGTCTTCTCAGGTGCCAGGAGGCGCTCCTCGAGGAGATCAAGGGTGAGTGTGGTGGGGTAAATAGAGAGGAAGTGATCCCTAAGCGAGCGAAGGGAGTCAGGGAGCCTGGTGACTATGTAGTAGAGTGTGATGTACATGGGGGGGGGGGGGGGGGGTTCTTGGCGCAGAATTCAGAAGGAAGCGCAGCGCGGTAGCCGGTGTCACTAGTGCGAAGGTGCGTAATGAGGTCAGCGACTGTGGGAAAGGCGGCGAGGTCAGGGTACGGCAGCATGAGGCGGCTAAGGGCAGCAGTGGCAGGGGAAGAGTAGCGTGCAACTACAGCATCGTACAAGGTCTTAGTACTCTTGTACTGACTAAAGTGCGCGCTCTCAGTGGACGGCAAGTGACTACGCACAGCAAGACGGGCAGCAGCATCGCGTGTGGCCCACTGCGAGCGAAGAGTGCTGTCAGCATCGGCAGCAGGGGCAGCAGAGGCGCCAGACGTGAGATCGAATAGTGAGAGACCGTCCATTCTATTGCACTGTAGGAAAAGCTGAAGATCATCGACCCAGACCTCAAAGTAAACAGCCCAACCCTCAGCATCAAAAACTAGAACGCTAGGGGTAGCCATGACAGTAGTGGCAATAGGCTAGGGGCAGCAGTAGCAGGCGTGGCTCGGCAGTGCTCTTACGAGGGCTGGTGGGTAGGGGCCGGCAAGCGGTGGGGCAGGGCCGAGGCGCGCCGGCAGGGACAAGGCCGCGACCGCGGCAGCGGCTCCTGCTGTCAGTGGCGGGGGCTGCTGCTGTCGGCGGCGTCTGTTGCTGTCGGTTGCTGCTGGCGGCGGCCGCTGCTGTCGGCGGCGTTTGCTGCTGTCGGCTGCTGCTGGCGGCGGCAGCGGCGGCTGCTGTTCACGGAGGAGCCGAGAAGGGGTCGGGAAGAGTGGCGAAGGGGCCACAAAGGGCAGCAACGGGGCCGAGACGGGTGGCGACGGGGCCGAGAAGTGGCCGCGAGGGATCTTGAAGGGCGGCGACGGGGCCGCTAGGGGCGGCGACGGGGCCGCGAAGGGGCCGCGAGGGGCCTCGAAGGGCGGCGACGGGGCCGCTAGGGGCGGCGACGGGGCCGCGAAGGGGCCGCGAGGGGCCTCGAAGGGCAGCGACGGGGCCGGTAGGGGCGGCGACGGGGCCGTGAGGGGCCTCGAAGGGCGGCGACGGGGCCGCTAGGGGCGGGGACGGGTCCGCGAAGGGGCCGGGAGGGGCCACGAAGGGGCCGCAAAGGGCTGTGAGAGGGGCCGCTACGGGGCCGTAAGGGAGCGCGACGGGCCGCTAAGGGCAGAGGACGCGAACGGAGGGTAGGTACACGGGGCACGACTCGGGCAGGGGCGTAGCGCGCTCCGGGCAGGAAAAAAAAAAGTCGTACTTGCCGCACTAGAAAACGTGAAGAAAACGCCTGACGCCACTTGTCGCACGCATTAACTCCGATTTCTTCGTGTGCAGTTGACGACCACGTGAAAACTTCAACTCGCACGACCAGCTGCTCCGAGAATCTCGCGCATGCAGTGACGACAACCGTCCTGACGCCAACTGCCGCATAAAAACAGGCGCCGAGATTAACGGAAACGACGAAATTTACTCACGCAATTAAATGCGACGACAGCAAAAGCTGTCTACCACCCGGGGGGAGGGAGACCACGGTCCATCTCGACCGTCAAGGGCAAGGATCCGTCGGTGCCGCAGGAGCGCATTGAAATTCATGGCCGCTAGGAGCAACTACCCGTTCTCCTGGCCGGCTCTTGCGCTGCTCCTGTCACCACGACATCCTTCCCGGTCCCCCCCCCTTGAGGGGTAATACACTCTAAAAAACGAGGAACCTAGGAACTTAGGCTCTGATGCCAAGTGTTATGAGCTGTACCGTAAGCCCCCCGATAGAAGCGCAGGCCTCGGATAAGCGCCGATGCTTATGAAAGGATGAGGGCGCTTATATCCGGTCCTCGATTATAAGCACACCCCTGAAGGCTTACGGATTATAAGCGCCACCCTCTTCTTTTTTATTATATTTTTACTGAAATCGTTGTAACGAAACTCAACATTTTTATTCCCACATTTTGAATTTCGATGCCCCCTCACCCTCGCCCGGCTCACTGGCAACGCGTCCAGTCAGAATGAGCTGTTAAGGGCGCACGTTGACTCATTCTGACTGTGTGTGTTGGCAGGGAATCAATCCTTGCCAACTTGCACACCAGATTCTCAATCACAGCCTTGTACAGTATAGTTTCACATTCTGACTGTGTGTGTTGGCAGGGAATCAATCCCTGCCAACTTGCATGCGAGATTCTCAATCGAACACTGTATAGTTTCGACTCGATTCAATTCGCAAAAACGGGATCCACAGTTTGGGGGAAAAACGACGAATTTTATATATGCATTTATATAAGCACCGGCGCTTATAAAAACCATCAATTATAAGCGCACCCCCTAAAAAAACGTGCTTTCTTATAACCCCAGGGGCGCTTCTATCCGGGGGCTGACGGTACTAAGAAGAGTGTCAAACTTATATGCTATAGTCTGTGTAGGCTGTAGTGGGGTAGACAATATGGGGTACAACATTTCTAGGTTTTCCTACTTGTACCCACCCCTTACCTAGTTCATTCATTCCTCGTTCTTTCACATGGTATAGAGCAGGTTCCCTAGTGGGAACTTCCTAGGGCCCACCACTGAAAATCAATTTTTTTTTCTGACTGGAGCGCGAGTCGCCCCTGCCTGAGTCGCGCCCCGTGGGCCGCCCTCTTGTCGAGCCCTCCTAGAGGCCCCTCTCACGGCCCCTCGCGCCACCCTTGGCGGCCCCGTCGCCACTTCTAGCGGCCCTGTCGCCGCCCTTCTAGGCCCCTTGAGGCCCCTTCGCGGCCCCGTTGCCGCCCTTCCAGGCCCCTCGCGGCCCCTTCGCCGCCCCTAGCGGCCCCGTCGCCGCCCTTCCAGGCCCCCTCGCGGCCCCTTCGCGGCCCCGTCACAGCCCCCAGCGGCCCCGTCGCCGCCCTTCCACGCCCGTCGCGGCCCCTTCGCAGCTCCGTCGCCGCCCCTCGCGGCCCCGTCGCCGCCCCTCGCGGCCCCTGTCGCCGCCCTTCGCGATCCCGTCGCCGCCCCTAGCGGCCCCTGTCGCCGCCCTTCCCGGCCCCGTCGCCACCCTCTAGCGGCCTCGTCACCGCCCTTAGCAGCCCCCGTCGCCGCCCCTTGCGACCTTGCCGCCGTCCCCCCCTTTTCGGCCCCTCTCTGGCCCCTTCATGTTAACGGGAATGGAGTGTTGGCCCCGCCCTCGCTTGGGCAACGCTAACAACTTGGTCGGATGTACGGAAGTAGCAGCCGACCGCTCACAATGGGATAGCTGCTCGACAGGTTACGTCGAGCTGCAGCGGACCGCTGTGGTGTTGCTGTCAACCAGGATGCTCGACAGCTGCACCTGACTGGCCTGGGCGACGGGTGAGCCGTCCGGGAGGTCGACGAAGCAGTCCGTCGACCTACAGTTCGACGGGGAGGTCAACGGAGCATCCCGTCGAACTGCAGCTCGACCGGGGGGTCAACGAAGCGTCCCGTCGAACTGCAGCTCGACCGGGAGGACGTCGGAGCAGTTCTGGTCGACGGAAGGGGTCCGTCGACCAAGGGGTAGCTTGACGGGAGGTGTGGTCGACCAGGAGCGCCCGGTGGTCGACCAGAGGGACCCAGTGGTCGACGGGAGGCCCTTGGGAGTCGACCAGAGCACCCGGGGCCGACCAGGTCGACCGGGTAACCTGCTCGACGAGTTCTGCGGAGGCACGCGAACGTCGTCGAGATCGCAATGGCGCAGGCGACTTCGGGCTGGTATCTCGAAGTCGATGTGGCTCGTCAGGCGCAGACAACAGCCGACGGATGCCCAACGAGGCAAGTCGGGCCAATCGTCTGCGCACACCTGTGAGCGCGCGCACTGCTGTGTTCTACGGGGCACGCTGTCGACCTGCTTTGTTGGCAGGTCGCCCTTCTGCAATGCAGGCGCGGCTCCTCTACGCAATGCTGGCAGGCGGTCGACCGAGCTGCGTTGGCGGTCGACCAAGCTAGTTGCAGGGTTGCTAGGTGCCTGATGTAGTCATTGTTGTCATTGCTTCTTGTATGATTCTGGAATTCCAACTTTGCTAGTGAAAACTCTTGTCAAATTCTTCCGTGAATGTGCAAGCTCTAAGGAACCAAGCAAAGCTAAGATCACCTCTAGTAGTTCGTGCCAACCCCTGTAGTCTAGCTCACTACCGTTGTAGAGTTTATCTCCGCACTTCAAACCCTAAACCCTAAGCCGCCAAGCAGCCGAGTAGCCGAGCCGCCGAGCAGCCGGGCGCCGAACCGCCGAGCCGCCCAGCAGCCGAGCCGCCGAGCAGCCGAGCCGCCTGCACCCGAGCCGCCGAGCCGCCGAGGCCGCCGTCGAGCCGCCACTGCCACTGCCGAGCCGCTGCCACCGCTGTTGCAGCCCTGTTCCTCCCGGCGCGTTCCGGCCCTATCCACCAGGACTGGTGAGAGCCCTCCCTGCTAGACCACTACTGTCATGGCTACCCCCAATGTCCTTACCTTTGATGCTGAGGGTCGTGCTGTTGACTTCGAGGTCTGGGTCGATGACCTGCAGCTTTTCCTACAGTGCGATAGGGCAGACGGACTCTCATTGTTCGATCTCACCTCTGGTGCCTCTCTTGCCCCGCCTGCTGATGCTTACTGATGAGGGTGATGGTTACCTGTGTGTTCCGCCTGACCCGGGCATTGAGGCTGCTGCACTAGGTGCTGGTCAAGCTGCTGCTCTAGGTGCTAGTGCGTCTGCTGCCCCAGGTGCTGGTGAGTCGGCTCTCTTACGTACCACGTCGGCTCAGGCCTTACACACCTTCACCCTTGACTGGGGTGCTTCCCGCTCCTTCTTTCGAGACCGCACCACGCTTACGCCGCTTAGTGGACCGGTTGCAGTCTCCCTAGCGGACCCCTCTAAGGGTCCCGTCCTTGCTCGCTTCTCCACTGTCTTACCGTGTCCGGCAGCCCCCTCTGGCACCCTATCAGGTCTCTTCCTCTCCTCGTTCTCTATGAACTTGGTGAGTGGTGCTGATCTACAGGATCGGGGGGTTGACCAGTTCACTCCTGCGAGTCTGCGGGTGACCCACTCTACGTGTGCTCGGACGAGCCGACACTTGGCCATGTTTATCCGTCAGCCGGGGTCGAGCGTGTACACACTGAGTACTGAGTCTCCTCCGGTTGCTGAGTCTGGTCAGGTAGCTGCGTCGAGTCAAGTGTTTGCTGTAGCGTTCAGGTCCGGTCCTGAGTCTGCTCCCTGCTCGTGTCGTCTCCTGTCCCACCAGACTCTCCTTTGGCACCACCGCCTTGGTCACCTCTCCGTGCCTCGTCTCCGAGGCATGCCCTCCCGTGTCCTTGTCCCTCGTCTCCCCCAGTCCCTCCCTCCCCTCCCTCCGGGGCCTATCCCTACCTGCGTTCGCTGCGTCGAGGGGCGGCAGCGTGCCGCCCCTCACTCCTCCGAGTTTCC